CCGCTCTGTACGAGTCCCCCGTGCGAGTCCACCCGGGGGGGAAAAATAAAAATAAGTGTGTTCGCCCCGCCCGGGGGGGGGGGGGGGGGGGGGGGGGGGGGGAAGAAGCGCCTCAATAGGTCGCATGCATATGCCAAGCGTCGCACGCCGCAGGCCGACCGACCGCATACATATTCCAAGCAGAACAGCAAGCAGAAGTGTACCACACAGAACCCAGACGATGTTGACGCCTTGTCGCTTACAAAGCCACGTCGACGCGACTTCGACAGGCAGGGGGATGAGAGTCCACGGGGAGGGCGTCTCTTAGACAGCAGGTGCTCAAACGGATCTCTTTCCTGAAATATATGCATGCTTCGCAGTTTTGCGTTGGAATGGGTTTCCTAACAGCTCTACCTGCCGTTTCGGCGTAGACAAAAAGATGGACGAAGCGTCCGCCGCTCTCTGTTGTGGGGCGGCAGAAAACAGAGTACTGGTACATGACACAGAACCGCCTCTGGCGTGCTCTCTAACAAAACACCGCTCACTGCTATGCAGTACAGTCCAATCGAAAACAACAAAAAAAGAGACAACGCCCCCCCACCCCCCTCTCGCCCCCCCGGCATCGACAAGTAACGACGACCTTGTCTGTGACTGACCTCTTGGCGTACTCTTCTTCGAGACGAGACCATTTCCCCCGGCGGGTAGGCGCAGACTCCCTCAAGCTGTAAATGGAATCACCGCCCTCGGTGGCCTTCACCTCTACCAGAGGAACGTCCTCCTCGGACAACCCTCCGCCGCCGCCGCCGATGCCGCCGCCCGCCACGCCGGCGGCCGCGGTAGGACCGTTTCCTGAACATCTCGATCCCGCCGGCACGCCTCCATGTTGTAAGGACAACGACGACGATGACAACGAGGCGGAGGAGGAGGAGGAGGAGGACGGAAAACCCACTTGCGCCTTACCGTACGCTCTCGATGATTCCGAATTGCCGATGGCGGCGGCGGCGGTGGGCACGGGCAGGAAGCCTCCGTCGCTTCGGTCCGTGCTGGCGATGCTAGTGATGCTGCTGCCGCTGCTGCTGCTGCCACTGCTGCAGCTGTCGTTCACGACGTTTGCAGTCGGACTCTCGACCTCAACCCTTGGAATACTCACCTAAGTAATTGCGAGGAAAGACAAACACATAACAACATATGGTACGCATCAGAAAAAGAGGTACCACGTATCTGCAGACATATCGTAGCGTTCGGAGGGTTTCGAGCGATGACAAGCTGTCAGCTGTGTGTTAAGGAAAAAATAAATACACGCACAGAAAGACTACCCATTCGAGATATACCCACAGTCGAACCGGATGTGGTGGAGTCTTTTCAGTGAGTGGAGGAAAACCGTGCGTCGAAGTGGGCCCAGAGGGTGGTTGTGTTTCCCGTCGGCCTTTTGAAGCACCCCTCACTACCAAAGGTGACTGCGTGGTGCGCATGATTGTTTGTGGTCTTCGTTACATCCCTTCAGGTGATATGTACGTAGTAGCAACCATTGTTGTGTCTTCATCACTACGAACTGTTCATGGTCGGCGAGAGAGAGCGCAAGACTAACCGTTGGCGGCAATAAAACTTATCCTTATCACACACCACCAGATCACCGCCCTTCTCTCTCTTGCTTTCTCTCTCTCTCTTTCTTGACTTTTTCTTCGTTTTGCTGTCAAGGTCACTCGTAATCTGTGTAGATGCCTAGGGGATACCGGGGCAACGCGCCCATGCTCGGATTACGCATCGGAGAGAGGGCGCCGGAGAGCAAAACAAGATCGCTCGACCAATCAGCGGGCGTACAAGCTATCGATGATAGACACGAGTCACTGTTAAACAGATCGAAAATACAACTTTCGCTTCTTTCGCACCGGCCAAAGCGCGGGACGGTGACAAGCCGCGAGATTTAAAGACCCTCTTTCGTGAACAATAACGAACAAAAGTGGTAGCGAGAAAGAAAGAGAGACGACGCCCGGCGGCGGCTCAAAACCACCACCAACCACCATTCCTGGAGATGATGGTGGGATCTACAGGTTGCAAGCGCCAACGAAAAACTAGGTGCGCAGGATACGTAGGATACTGCAGCAATCATCTGCAATGACGGGCGGGTGCCGGTCAGTCAAGTCCTTCTCACTGGCAACTACCCGGACGGACACCAGACAGAAAAGATTTATATTAAGATGCGTACCTCATTCGATCCTTTTTGTTCTGTTACTTAATTGTTCGAGAGTTTGATGGAATCGACAGCACGTGTTAAAAAAACCCAAAGATCCAACGTTCACCACGTCAATGTCTAAGGAGGTAAGGAGGAGCACGGACCTACTTGTAGCCAGGCATCACGCTGCTTGCACACGTCATATTATTGGTTTGTTGCACTCGACTTGTAATGCTCGATTTGCAGTCGGGACTACGAAGCCCACGATCGGTCCTCGTAAGTACAAGTTTAACATAAGCGCACGGATTTCAGAGAGAGGGGGGGGGGATCAATCTAACGACAGACCATGTACCTTCCACTCGTAGATATCTTCATTTACTTCGCAGTATACCATAGTCATTCTGTGGAGCAACCCATACACAAATGACATACATGTAGCTGACCTCTAACGCTGTCCAACGGTCGCTGCTGTGAATTCCTCCTGGGATGGCGACCACAGTTGCTGCTGCCGCCGCAAAGGCGGCATGGCCAAACGCCGCCCTGCCGCCAGCTAGAGCCCGCCGTGGTGCGCACAGAGGCATCATCAATGAAGAAGGCTGTGGCGGCGGTGAGACCCGAGGGCATAGTCTGGATACGGCCGATCCTCGACGGCGGGGGGCAACGGAGGAAGGACCCGGCGACGAAGAGTGAATAACGCTGCGGGTGGTGGTGGCCGGGGTGTGGTGGTGGTGTTGGAATAATTCGCGACCTTCACGACCTTCTTCCTCCGACGATGCCGACCGCAACCGCTTACTCCCGGCCCGCTGCCGCTCCGTCTCCTTATTATCCATTATTGTTGTGAGCAGTCGTAACGCGATTGTGCCGGTGGCGGCGGCGCGGTTCCCTTCCGTAGATGGTGTCGTTGCCCGCCGCCCCGTCGCACGCCGTTGTCCTTGCCTCCTCCCTGGTTCGTCGGCCGTGTTGACGTTGTTGTGATCGCGCTCTCGGTTTCACAATTGTTTCCGCAGGCGGCGCTATTTGTTCGCCGCATTCACCATTCACCTCCCCGCCGCCGCCGTTTCCGCCCAGATGCCCAGATCAAACTTGTAGATATGCTGTAGATCTGTTTGTTTGTTGCCATGCACACACACACCCTCTACGAACCGCGTATGGCCGACGTTGAGCGTTGCACGGGGGGGCGGGCAGATGAGCCAGGGAAGAAGACAGAGAGACAGAGGCAGTTCAAAGGAGAGAGACAGAGAGAGAGAGAGCACTCTCGTATGCGTACGTAGCATAGTACGCTGCACGACAACAACCATCCATGTCTTCACAAGGGGCAGGATTCATCATACACCAAATAATTGCGAATTATTTCATGTCGATGAGAAACACTACCAGTTTCGGTTGGTTGCTGAGATATTCTTTTTTCTGGTCGTCGGCAATATTGCACATGCGCGCGCGTGAGTGTGAGGTGCACGCGTCCATCAGAGGCTACACGCACGCGTACCCTCACCGCGTTCGAGAGCTTCGCTCACTAGCCCCCATCATCCCTCTTTTACACATAAAGGCGGCGTTTTTTGTGCCCGTTTGTTTTGAATCACCCGTTTTATTCCCGACATGGATATTTCGATATCGATACAATCATTCGCTTGAAGCATATCTGGGAGCGGTTGGCCGTAATAAACGATGCGCGCGCGAGCCACCGAGACGAGCTACCGATCCTTCCCACTGACTCACGTGCGCGTGCAGGAAGAAGGAAAATATCAAAGATGAACGTGGACGGGAGTGGTGAGGTTGGTTTGGCCAGTAGGGGGGATAGTGTACTGATGATGCCGCGTTGGTTCCTCGGCGGGGCACGCACACACACGCGACCTCGAAAAAAAAAAAAACTTTCGGGTCTGTTCAATCTCCAAATTCCTGGATCTTTGTGGTATTCTGGAGGGGCATGTGTTGGCGTCATTTGTTGGTGCGGTTAGAAGCGTAACTTTCTTCAAAATACAAACATACACGAATAACGACCACCCAGCTTTGGTTGCTGGAGCGCGCTCTCCCTCTCCTCCGTACATTTGTACAGGCGTCGTCAAGCTTGGTGTCGTTCATCATTTCTCTCTCCCCAGCGATCTATCTCCTCGTTTGTCGCAAGCAGAGTCAAGCCTCCAGACTATAGAAATGCCCTTGAAATTTTTCTCTTTCTTGTGACGGAGCGATCGAATGTGTGCATGCGTTGTTAGTTGTTGACCAAGAAAGATGAAGAAGAACACTCTTCGACTCTTCTTGCAAGTACACGGTTTCGCTGCATGTATTTTTTTCCGAGAGCACGAGTTGCTTGCTGGCAGGATTTTGGTCCTCCCCCCTCCGCCGCCTCTCCGCACTATTCTTGGTTGGGAGTCGTAGCGTTTTTTTTCTTTTTATGCGCCTGGAGTGATGGTGGGGGGTTGAGCGCGGTCGGACCACGATTGCTTGTCGTACTAATATTACTGTTGCAGATAGGTCCATTGTTTTACCTCTCCTCTGCATAGAAGTTTCACCTATCTATCAATGTACAGTATCTCCGTCGAGTCTCTCGTCGTTCGTGCGGAGTGTGGAGGACAAGGGTGGTGATCTAAAGCGTCCGTCGCCCCGAGGGAAATTCGGTTCATAAATATTTTCGGCGCGGCTGATACAACTATACTGTACCCCACGGGTCCTCGGGGTAAAAGCCTTATTTACCCACCACCAGCTGGATCTCGCCCTGCAAGACTCCAAATAATCGACACAGACAGGGCATGAACGAGTGTGCTGTGGCGTTCCGGGGTGGCTAAAGTGGGACCGTTATTATTGTGAAGCCCAGACGGTGCAGTTTTGGTGCTGCAAGCCACTTGCACCAGCTTTTTCTTTGTTTATTATTATCGGGGTGCGGTGTCGATGACACTCATTGAAGTGCCCTCTCTCTCTCTGTTGCTCCGATGCTCCGATACATCAATCCATCAATCCATCAATCCGCGGGGGGTTGCTCCGCGCGCGGCCCCCTCGATACAGCAGGGTTCCCATTTGCGAGCCCCCAACCAGGGTGTGTGTGGTGCGAGAGAGCGATTATAGCATACCGAACTTCTTTGGTGCTGGAGGCCTGGGCTAAGCAAGGAGCGCCTTCGGTTTCAACTGACGAACGCTCAGGACCACCTATTAGCAGTGCTTGCGACATATCAAATGTGAGGGCCTACGAACCAATCCAGTTTGGGCGTGTGAGCGTGAAAGAGAGGTGGAGGCAGTGGACGTGCGTGCGCACAGCACAGGGGGGGACGGGAGAGCGAGGAGCGTTGCAGGTTATCCCGAGAGGAGCGTTGCAGAAAGAGCAACGGGTTTCTTTATCTCTGGCAATCCGCTGCCGTCCGAACTCACTTGCAGGGTGACGTGGTTCGCCCGCGGTACTTGCATGGTCTTGTTCTCTTTGTCCGGGTTGTGCTTTTGCGTTATTTTTGAAATCCGATCCTCAAGAAAAAGCTGCGGCTGTCGGATGGCGAAGGGCAGCAGCAGTTGATGGGCTTCGGCAGCCGTGCCGCACGAAATGATTGTTCTTGCACGGTGCACCAGGGGCACTGCATGGGACTTGTTTATTTTCTTGTGCAGCTTCGAGGTTTAGATTTTGAAGCCTATGCGCGCTGCTATGCAGCCGAGAGAGAATTGATGCGCAGCTTTTCGTAGACCCCAAGTCTGGGCAGCATGGCGACCTGATGGCGACCCTCTGTGGGCGTGTCTACAGTATGTACATGTACATGTATGCATATGTCGCTCTTGTTCTGCTGTTGTGCTGCCCAAACAGATTGCCGAAGAAGCGCAGTCGCTGTAAGGGGCCCATACCCGAGAGAACCTTTGTAGCAAGCGGCAAAGGTAGCTTGACTTGATGTGTCTGCGAGTCATATTAACCAGGGCGGGGGGGGGGGTTGGGGGCAGGCACATCAACTCAACTGCAGAATACTGCTGTAGTCAAGGTCCTACCTTCAGTTGGCGACACAGCCGACACGGCACACGTGCGTGCTGCGCTTCTGTTAGCTTTGAGCCTGTCGCCGCTCGACCTCTACTAGAACAGGAAAACCGTTCATGGACGATGCAGGCCTGCAGATGCTTTGGCGTGCACAAAGAGCCGTGCGAATATTATGTTTGCCGTGTTCGTCTCCGTACCAGTGCGGGGCAGCAGAAACGTTGGAAGCTCATTTTCGACTCGATCCTATCCACGCTCCTTTTCTCCATTCCCTACATGTAGCCTGTGTAGTACGCAAGCCCCTCGACTTCTTCGGGGAGTGAAGAGACTGTGAGGGGTTGGTTGGTTCACACCCGGCCGGCACGCCTCCTGCTGATTGAAACACGCATGTTCGAGTGCATCCACTTTTGGCGGGGGGACGCCCTCACCCCTCCCCCCCCCCCCCCCATACCTATAGTACCCTCTCCAGCTCTCCCAGCCGTGCGTACAATAGACGATCAGGGTTTTGCACCTGCTAGCGGTAATTTCGTGCATCCCGCGACCGCCGCCGCCGCCGCCGCATCCACAACTCAACTTGCAGACAGCAGCATGGCGTCGAAATTCTGGGCGCAAGAGTCGGGGGCGTCGGGTTCGGAGTCCGACTCTGACTCTGACTCTGACTCGTCTATGGGCGGGGCCGGAGGCGCGGCCGGAGCGCGGCGGCAATGGGCGGTAGACTCGGACAGCGAGTCCGAAGAAGAGGTGTGTGCGCGCGTAGCCTACATGTGTGTGCCTTTTGTACCTGGAATATATGTACTGCTGCTGTTGCCGGCGAACGAAAGTGCCAAAAAAGTGAGTATGCCTTGAGCATCGACTAAGTGCTGCCGTTGCCGGCGAACCAAGGGACGAATAAGTGAGAGTCTTTTGGGGCCTTTGGGGTGATGAAATAAATGGCTGCTGTACTGCTGTTGTTTGTCTTGTGGCGTCTTGCTTTACACACGAGAAATCATTCCTGCTCACGGTGTTGGGTGCCTTTACTGCCTGTTAACATTTTTCAACGATGAGGTTTTCATCTCCTGTAGGCATCACAAATGCGTGCTACAGCAGGACCACACCAAAGCGAAAGACAAGCCGCGGCAAACGAGCCTACAAAGAAAATGCCGTTGACAGCGTTTCTTGACAAGGTTAAAAACTCCTGGCTAGCTAGCGCAAACACCCCCAACCCGACCAATCTTTACCGGTAGCAGTTGGCGAGCGGGGGGGGATCGTGTGCTCTATGCAAGGGCGTCGCAATCAAGCTGTGTCATTGAGGATGCTTGTCCTCACGTCTGCCGTGGGCATTATGCCAATTGCGAAAAAGAAAGATGACGCGAGGGGGGTTGTACTGAGGCGTGTTTGCTACAAGGACGGGATGCAACCTGGTATTCTAGCCCTCAGAAGTACGTAGGTTTTTAGTGAAAACGGTGAAAACAATTTCGTGAATTATGTACACTGCCCCCGCTAGGTTTTTGTTGGTCGCTTCGAGGTTGTATAGCCCGCGTGTTTCTTTTGTAGTTCATCCTACCGTGTCGCTTTGGTGGTGGCGGTCTTGTAGCTGTTGGTAATTGCTATTCATAGCTTTGCCCCGCATGTCAATGGAGGTTGTTCATGTGGTCCTCGCTGTCGCTGCTTTGTGGTTCGTTGTCCGTCTTTGCATACCGAACATGGGTAAGTAGCGCGGGTATTCATGGTGACAGGCTACACCCCACATGACACCCAAAATGAAAAATTGCCCACAAGACTATTCAGTCCTGCCACAACCCACAAAAGAAGAGAAAGGGAAATTAAAATTGATTTTCCCCGTGGAGAGAGGTGGTGCCACCGTCCTGCGTTCGAGCGCACACACGCGCTTTGTAGTCGGTCGACGTGATCGAGTCTTGTTTGTTTCACAAGCTCATGTCAACCCTGGTTTCATCTCCTTGCTCGAGGTGAGTTTCAACAGTTCTGCTGACAGAGGTTCAGGACAAGGCACTTGCCTCTGCTTGGACGCCCGACGGTGCTCCCAAACATACGCATCTGCCGTTTGCTCGCGAAGCAACAACAGCAACTCATCTTGGTATGGAGGTATCTCGACAGCAGTTGGCGGACAAGTCCTGCGTAGTTAGTTCATGCTTAGCCTCTACGCAGACACCGTCCCGTCTCACTGCCTCCGTTTTTTTGTTTCACCCGGAAATACCGCTGGTGCCTGGCAAATCCCATCTCTCTGAGTTGTTGTCGCTCCCTCTCCGTTTCCCGCTCTCTCTCCCTATCCCCCTACTCCTCTCCCCTCTCCCTCTCCCTCTACTTGTCCCTCTGTATGGTAGGTGCGCGTGGTGAAGTCCGCCAAGGATCGGTCGTTCGAGGCTATCCGCACGTCGGTGGGGAAGATCCGAACCAAGATCAAGATCAACGACTGGAACGGCATCCAGACCAACTTCGATGAGTGCAACAAGCACGTCGACAAGAGCAAGGTGTGTGTGTGCATTTTTTTTACTAATAGTATCGACCGCGCTAACCGGCTGACCAATGAAAAGACGTCAGTCTCAGTGCGGTTGAAAACACAAAACACTTGTAATCCCATTAGCTGGGACCCCGTGAGGGGGCGGCATGGGTGTGTGTGTGTGTGTTTATTTACACCGACTGCGCTAACCGGTTGCCCAATGAAAAGCCGTTGAACGGGATATAACGCGAACACGCTGTCTAGGATACAGCTTCTACCGACAGGGTGGGCGCAGGAGTTGGACGACAGTATGTGCTGCTTCTGAAGTGATTGTGTGTGGGACCAAGAAAGGAATCGGTCAAGACTTTTTCGTCACGGGGGGGAACGGGGGGTTAACGTCCGCTGTAGATACCACATGGAAGTAGCATAAGGCGTGTGGTTCCTTGGGACCGTCCCCCGGGAACCCCAGCCGCACTTCGACAGGGTTCGTTATTTTCTTCCAAAGCACCAAATGGTTCGTCCCTTTTTTAAACGTACGCCTTGCTTTTCATCTACTGCTGTGTTTGGCGGGCGGCCTGCCCCTTTCTCTCCGCAGGTGATGATCGCCAAGGAAGGAGTACCGTCGTTCTACATCAAGCTGCTGGCCAACCTCGAGGACCTGCTGGCGGTGACCCTGAAGGACAAGCCTGCCATCAAGAAGATGAGCGCCACCAACACGCGCTCGCTCAACCGGATGAAGCTCCAGTTGCGGAAGCACAACAAGGGGTGAGAGCACTTGTCCGTCCTTCCGTCAGTGCCTTTTTTTGTGTTGTGCGGTGCGCGTACGTAGGAATCCTCCGTGCTTTTAGAGGTGTATATATATTTTCGCTGGGTTGTATCTGTGCGTGTGGTGGATGGAAGCCTCTGCTGCAGCTGCTGCTGCTGCGCGATTCCTTCTATGTTGGTTGTTGTCATGTGATTTCGGTGCTGGTCTTGGCTGCTGCTCGTGGGTTCACATTGAACAGTGCTTCTGGAGCGCTGAACCCAGCCTATCTTCCCCACGGACTCTTGTGTGTGATGTCATAAACGGCTGGCTTGCGTTGTATCAAAACGTGTCGGGAAATTTGGCAAACCTTATTGGTCAAGACCGTAACTATGGGGGGGTACTGCTGTAGAGCGGTACATGAGAGGCAAAGACCTCCAACAAGAACTTGCTCAGGTACTAGGTATATTACCAGCGAGAAGGGAACGTTGTTTACGCGTACCCCCGTCCTGCCCCTCCGATTTCCTTAATATCTCACGCTTTTGGCACACAAACCACGACGTTCACCCTCCCCCCCCCCCCCCTCCGATACCAGCGTCTTGCCTCCGCACCCCCGGTCATGATAATCATCCACTGTCTCTCTGTCTCAAACCATCCCCAACACAACACCGCTCGATCGACTTGTTTCGTCTCTCGAAATGAACGTGTGCTCGCGCGCGTGCGCGAGCAGCTACGAGAAAGAGATCGCCGACTTCCGGGCCAACCCCGACGCCTACGCGGAGGAATCTTCCTCCGAAGAGTCTTCTTCCTCCTCCGACTCGGACTCGGACTCTTCCTCTTCAGACGACGATGCCTCGTCGTCTGAGGAGGAATCGGACTCGGACTCTGACGGTGATGACAGCGACGCAGATGACTCTGACGACGACAGCGACGCCTCTTCCGCCGCCGGCGGTGGGACCAGGGGCGTCGGAGAGGCCAAGGCCAGCAAGCCCGTCAAGACCCAGAAGGTGATGGAATGGATGCGGCTTTGGTTGGTGCTCTCTTCGTCTGTTGCTGGTGTGTGGATGGCGTGTGTTGTGGGTTGACGGGTGGTCAGGATTTTTGCTCGCGTTTTTGTGTGGATGGGGTCCGGGTGTGTCGTGGGTTGAGCCTTCGCGCTTTGCCGTCGATCGATGGCGCGCAGCAGTGGAATCGAACGTGCTTCTTGGGTGTGCAGGGAGAGCCGTGTGGGTGTGGAATGGCTTATTATATGTGGCACCGAACTTTCTCCGAGCTGTTGTTGGTCGGAAAGTCTGGCATGTGTTGATCGTGCGAGGGTGAGTGCTGATTTGTTTGGTGTCGCTGTCTCTGTATGAAGCAGGTGGTTTCTTTGCTGTTTGCGGCAGCGGTGACGATAAGCTAATTCCTCGTTTCCGACGCACCTCGCTGCAAAAGCGGGGCGCAAATGAGACCAAACGTTGCTTATCCAGCATTTCTGAGCTGTCGCGAATGAGTCTTCGTCTTGCGTCCGCGTTTTTTTTTTTGTTACCGACACCGCCGTTCCGTCGTTTTTTATAAGATCTCGTCCCCGTCGTACCGCACATACTAAAGGACAACAATGGCGGTTCGTTCCGAATCTTGTTTGTTGTCAGCATAAGCAGCAGCAGTACCAATAGACTGGTTTTTGTTCCTCGACAACCGGCGGCATTGCCATTTGTGTTGTTTATTCCTCCGACCTCTGCACAACTACGACTGGAAATTGACAGCTCGTTCCGTAAGATAGCGTACAAGTAGTAGTTATGTACTCCTCTCTCCTCTGTGGCAATAACCCCTCTTGGTCAATGCTCATCTCGATGGCAACTGGCGAAAAACATGCACCATGTCCCGGCCTGGATTTTTTTTTCTACGCGACACGTCGCCCCCCACCTTCCTTCTCGTCCGCGAAAGCCGTGAAGATAAGCTAATTCCTCGTTTCCGACGTGCCTCGCTGCAAAAGCGGGGCGCAAATGAGACCAAACGTTGCTTATCCAGCATTTCTGAGCTGTCGCGTTCAAGTACCCAAAATCAATTCGCCAGGCTTTTTTTGTGTGTTTGGGGTATGTCGACGTGATGTTGCAGTACTACAACCACCACACGACGAGAAACGATTTGTAGAAGTAGCACGCACACGAATTACATAGTCTAGTCTAAACCGGCACCATTTTTTTTTTTTTCGCTGTAAAGACAATTAAAAAAGGAAAAAAATGATCGGAAGAACCTTGGCCACGGCCCCCGCACCCCCATTCAAGAAAAGAGCCGTGAAGACAAAGCAAATTCCTCGTTTCCGACACGTCTCGCTGCAAAGTGGGACGCGCGTGAGACCAAACATTTTGCTTATCCAGCATTTCTGAGCTTCAATATGGAGGGTTGTTGTTGTTGTTGTTGTTGCATCACACATGAGCGCGACGGATCGGTTTTCAACGAAAGCGAGGCCGACTCCAGGAACGGCCGGTAACGGTCACGCACACACACATCCCGGCGGTTGTCATGGTGTCAAAAAACGATACGCAAAACACCCCGCCGCAACCCGTATTTCAAACACATACTTGCACCTGCTCGCAGAAACGCGTTGTAGAACAAGCCTTTTGTTGGAGCGCTCCTACATAACCCCCTGAAAAAGGGAGTGTAACCCCCCCCCCTCCCCGGTGCGTCTTCGCGTCTTCGATCACGCCACCCATATTTCAGACACATGAAACTGCTCATAGAAACGTAGCCATACAGAGCAAGCCTACTGTTAGAGCTCTACTGCATACCCCCCTGAAGGAGTCCCCTCCCCCCTACGCCTTCGATCACGCCTCCTTAAACATGGCGCGAAACCGATGATACCAACCCGCAGAACCTTGAGGACATGGACTCGGACGACTGGTCCTCGGACTCGGACTCGGACTCGGATAGCGACGGCAGCGACGACGACGGGGACATGCTCAAGGGCCGCGCGAAGTGGCTCAAGAAGACGGACGACACCTCGGACATCAAGAAGCGGAAGGACGAGAAGAGGGCGGCCAAGGTCGAGGACGGCAAGAAGAAGAAGGACAAGGTGCGGGCGGGAAGAGGGCAGAGAGGGTGTTGTTTGGGATGGAGCCGTGGTCTGTCGGTGATGGGGTGTGGGAACTTTGTGAATAGGCCGGCCCGCGAGCGCTGATCCATGGGTAGGTGGATGGTGTGTCGTGGGTGCCTAGGAGCGAGCTGGGGTCTCCGTCAGGCGTTTGTGAAAAACATACATCGCGTGGTGCGCTCGTCTTTTTGGTTACCGAGGCTTTCGCTTTCGCCACGGCGGACCAGTGCGCTCCAGGACGCGGTGCCTAGACGTACAGATGATAGTGGTTTGCGTTGCTGCCATTTTCTCGCTGGTGTAGCGGTTCTTCTGCCTCCTGTTGCCGGCGGTGTCGCCTCCTTGGTGCAATCTCTCTCTCTCTCTCTCTCTCTCTCTCTCTCTCTCTCTCTCTCTCTCTCTCTCTCTGCGATAACTGTTTCGTTCCTGTTGTGTCCGCGCGTGAGATGTAATGTTGTCCGGACGTCGCCCCCCCCAAGGCACGTTTCGCGTTCCGCGTCGGTGGAAACAACGCTCGTTCTGTGACGGAGAGAGTTTTTGAACAAAAAAAAAAAGAAAAAGCAACGCGACACGACCATGTTGTGGACGGCGCTAGTTGCACGTTTTTCGGGGGATTGATTATTGATCGAAAATACAACAACCAACGGGACGTGACCACGTTCATCGACGGCACTGGTTGTATCTCATGTGCTTTGCCACGGGACACTTTTTGGCCCCTCCCGTCCTCTTGAGTACGTGTGGTCAATGGTCTAACCGCTAAGGCATACAAAACGTGAGACTACCTCCCCCCCGCCCCCCGCCCCCCGCCCCCGGCGTGCCCGCCCCCTCTCTCGCTCTCTCGAGACCAGGCCGTCGTTACCGCCGGCAAGGAGAAGGGTGCGGCCCTCAAGCTGGACCTGGACATCTCGTCCGAGGAGCTGGAGAAGAAGCTGAGGGAGTGCCTCGCCAGCCGTGGCCGCAAGGCGACGGACCCGAAGGTGACGGGACGGGTCGGGACGGGACGACAAGCAATTTATGGAGAGAAATTTATTCCAAAATATATTTTTTTCCGTACCACGTCTGTTTAGGAAGTGGGTATGTTCGCGTTTGTCTGTGCCTGTGCTCGGTTCATGCTGAGGCGCGAGGGGTAGGATTGCACCACAGCAGCGCTAATGAGTTGGTGTCTTGTTCCTGTTTTGCCTGGCTCGTGCTACCCCTACCGCCCCACCCCGCTGGTTGTGCCAGTGCGACAAAAAGTCTGTTGCAGCAATCGCTGCTCCCCCTCGGTGCTCTGGTAGCTATCTACGATGGCGTTTTTGTGCCGATGGCGACGGCCATCTCCGGGCGTTTCAGCCCCCCCCCCTCCCACATGCACGAAACGCACTGCGTTGGAGCTTCGTGTGTCACTTACGAGAGAGCAAAGCACTTTTCTCGCCACTTCCTTCGAGCCATGGTTCCCTATTATCGTGGCCAGCTACGTCTCTGCTACCACGCACACTCACACTAAGAAGCGTATGCAGGCGTTCGTTGATGAGAAGACTGCTCGTTTTGCGCTCTGTTTCGTTTGGGCTGCTCACAGGAAGTGCTCCGGCAGCTGAGCGTGCTGGCCTACATCGCCCGGCGGCTGGGCCCAGTCCGTGAGATCCCCATCATCATGTACCTCGTGTCGGCCATGTTCGACACCCTGAGGAACATCGACGAGTTTATGGAGACGTCCATGTGGAAGAGCTGCAGGGAGTACATCAGCCGAGTGAGTTAGTTTGTAGCGTCCGTCCGACGAATGCATGATGGGAAGAGAGTGGGAGACCGAGGACAAATGACCCGCCCGATTGTCCAGCGGTCAAAGTGTCAGCGTTGCCCCGTAGATATCAACGCTGCCTACTTGCAACCAACGTGCATTTGCATACCACACGCTGGCATCCATGTGTATACACACACAAAGAAGTACTAAGTCGTGCACATTTTTTGCACGGAGATACTTGCCGTCGGAACATGTCATACCGTCAACTTTCGGAGATCTCGAGACCACTGCCGACAAACCTGTGACTCTTGTGCAGTCGTTTGTTTTGCCTCTCTCGCTGGTGTTGGGCGTGTAGGTTTGCGGAACGCGGTCGACCCGCTCTCTCCTCTTGGCCTGTCTCCTTGCCTTGAAACCCTCTCGGAAAACAAAACCTTCCTCTTTCTCTCAGCAGCGGGTCAAAAGCCACCGCGACCTTTTGGCAGGCACCGTTGACTTTACCACGTCGTCCTACAGTCAGTGGCGGGATCCTTGAGTAGTAGGGTGCTTCTTCCCTCACGCTTGAAGAAAGCTCGGAGTTATTAACAATGGTGGATGCTTTTTTTTTTTTTTTGCTGCTACCGACGAATGACGACGCACGGCAGGTGGCGGACCTCCTCGAGTCCCGCCCCGAGCTCACGCTCGGGCAGATGGGCAACGAGGTCGTGGCCGACTTGATCCAGGCTGGCACCGGCGTCGACGTGGACGAATCAGAGGTTAGTTTCGTCTTGAACAAGTTTATCTTCGTTTGTATTCCCAAGAGCAAGGGGCCCGTTTTTAGTGTGCCGCGTGCAAAAGGGTACCGCGCTTATGTGGAAGGTCGTGAACGTCTGTCTTGGTAAGTTATACCACTTCTGTTCGGAAATACAAGGGCCATTCGGATACAAATGTGATTATTCCAACGGTCCCTATATATCCGAACAGAGAGTAAATACCACAGAAATATAAGGAACTTTCGGATACACATGTGATTATCCCAATGGTCCCTGTATTTTCGAACAGAGTGCTATCTATCTACAACTGTAAATGAACGCTATAAGAGACCCACGATTGGGGTTGGGGAGAGGAGAGGGCAAAGAGTATGTTTTGGTCGTCGGTGTGTGCCGATAGATTCCCGGGTCGCGGCTGCGACTCCCGATGCTCCTAGTTCGTGGCCGTGCGTGCCAGGACGCCTTTCTCGTTCGTTCCTCCGACGACGTTAAGCAGTTTCCATTGACAGGCCGCGTCGCGTTTCTGCGGTCGACCCTCAAAAATCCTCTCGAGACGGGTAGCTTATACCAGTACAGCAGTATGCTTGAGTACTGTCTGTTTAACGGTTGGCACGCTGAATACTGTCTGTAGAGCACGGGTAGATAGAAATGTGATGCTGGCCTTCTACAACAGAGAGAGGAAGAATGTTTCACTGCTGGGTGTGTCGACCTCAAACGGCGGAAAGTGAAAATGGTTGTTCATTTAGTTGTACAGGGTGTGTAAAATACTGATGTGTACCCCCCCCCCCCCCCCCC